AAAGAATTGTATGGATTTAAGGATTCATAATTGAGGTATCCAGGGTGTGGAAACGAAAAAATTAAGGTGTGACCGGTTACAGTCCACAGACGCGTGTGGATGCATCCGCGAACATTTGTGAGGACAGATTTAGCGTATGCGGCTGCAGATCCTCTAGCATGTTTTTTTGAAGGAATATTATTGACATGCTACCCTCACATTTTCCTCAAATGTTGCCGCACTTGTGTTGACTAATTTATCCATCAAGTTTGTGGATTGCCAGGAATGAAGCGTGGCGAACTATTGGCTACGCACCGAACCACAAATGAAGCGTGGCAAACTATCGGCCATGGACCGAGCGTTCTCGCCGGTCATAGGTCGAGACGAGGACCAACATTCGCCGGAGTCAGTTTTTTTTCTCTCTTTGAAACTTTCGCCGGAGTTAAGCTGCCCGTGCGGATCCGAAAAGAATTCCACAACACAAGAAGGGGATGAGCCGTTGGCGTAATCCGGTAATCCGCGATGTAAACGACGTGTGCGGGACCCGGCCTCCCCTCTCACTGTCCACAACGGGCCCACCGTCAGAGACCACGCGCACCTTCCTCCGCTCCTTCCTCCCTCCAATGGTGGCTCCTCCTCCTCTGTCTATAAATACACCACGTCTCCCTCTGGAACCAACCTGCAACCACCGCAGAACACGCCATCGATCGAATCGAGCGAACCGAAGCCAAGAAGAGTTTCCTCGTTGCTAGCGCCGCTAAGTAGACGTCGACGGCGATGGGCAAGATGAAGATGCCGGCCCTGTTCCGCCGCCGCTCCTCCTCCAAGTCGCGCTCCGCGTCGCCGCCGACGACTCCTCCCCGGGAGGAGCAGCAGGAGGAGAGCCGGCAGGCCATCGGGTCCCCGGCGCGGTCGGCGGAGGAGGAGATGGAGCGGGTCTTCCGCAAGTTCGACGCCAACGGCGACGGCCGGATCTCGCGGCCGGAGCTGGCCGCCCTCTTCGAGAGCCTGGGCCACGCGGCCACCGAGGACGAGCTGACCCGCATGATGTTCGAGGCGGACGCGGACGGCGACGGCTTCATCAGCCTGGAGGAGTTCGCGGCGCTCAACGCCACGGCGCCCGGCGACGACGAGGAGGACCTGCGGCTCGCCTTCAAGGTGTTCGACGCGGACGGCAGCGGCGACATCTCGGCCGCGGAGCTGGCGCGCGTGCTCCACGGCCTCGGCGAGAAGGCCACGGTGCAGCAGTGCCGGCGCATGATCGAGGGCGTCGACAAGAACGGCGACGGCCTCATCTCCTTCGACGAGTTCAAGGTCATGATGGCCGCCGGCTTGCCCGCCAAGATGGCCTGATCCGTCCGCCCAATTGGAACCCATTGGCCAGGGTGGTACCGCGACGGATCGAGAAATTGCGAAGGTCCAATTGAAGATTAATGTGGAGCCGGCGACGCTTGAAGCTTGGGCGTGCTCCCAAGCTCTCGCGTTGGCCGGCCGTCCAGGCTCGGAAAACAGTGCCACAGTGGTGACTGGTGAGGGTGATTAGCAGTGAAGCTCGTCGCACCTACATGACAGTGTGGTGATCAAGGAGATTCAGGAAACAAAGGAAGATGTTTAGTGATGTAATATTTGTGTACATGAGAGTAGGGCTTACGATTAGGATGCTCGTTTGTTTAGCTCGAAGCGCGTGTCGCTTGATAGTGGTCGCTATTTCTGGCTGATCGATCCATGGGATCAGGCTAATGTGCATATAAACACTACCGATCTTCTAAAAAAATACCTAGCATTCACCAAGCACTAAGAGTCCACTCTCATATGCTCTCTTACATAAGAGTCCACTCCCGGCAATTTTTCATGTCTCCCTCCTTCATATAGACAAAAGTACCATGTAAGCGAGCTATAAAAGCCCATTATTGTACTTGCTCTGAGCCGATATCATTGATTGCAAGCCGCCAGCTGACCTTACTGAACTTCTTTCCCTTTGCGCCACTTAGAGCAAGTACAATAGGTCTAGTCAGCTGGCTATAAGGAGTGCCACGTCACTGAAAATCACTGCTGGAGGAGAGAGATGGAACGAAAAAGAAGGAGCGGGCGCTCCAGCTATCGCCAGCCACAGCGCCAGAAACAAGAAAAGCAACGCGCATGCAGTGGTGTGAGCGGGCGTTCTGTTCGTTTCCACCAATCAATAGTATATCTTTGTCTCTCTTTACATGCAAACATTAAATAGTAATAGCTAGTGTACAGCCAATGTATTGTATTAGTGAACTTTATGAAGACTTTATGTGACATGGCATGGGCAAATAGCCAGCAGCAGGCTTTGTTATTAGCCATGCTCTTACTGGGATCTCCTCGTGCCATCACCCTCCATTCTCGCCTCGTACCCCACAACGCCTGTGTGCCGACCCCGAGGTCTGGCGCTGCAGCAGCTGCTCCCGCAGCATCAGTGGCGTCTCTAGCCTCATAAGTCTGTGGGGTCAATGATTTTTTTTAGACATTTTTCTTCAGGATGAACAGTAAATCTGTACACACGACATATAGGGTGAACGACCCTTGCACGATGGTCCATCCAGCGGTTTGCAGACAACTGTTGCCATGCATGGACGGTTTAAATGGATTGTCGTTCAATAATCGTCTACCTACTGTCGTCTGTATAGCAGTGCTGCCATAGCTTACACATAGAATCGCCGTTGCGCAGCATGAAGGCGCAGACACTTGTTTCTGTAACGACAATGCTATTGCAAATCTCGACGGCGAACGAATACTCTGTTGTGACACGGCATCGTTTTGTAAAAACAATCCTGCAACAAGATCTATGTTACCAAAAAATCTGCAATAAAACGTTTGTTGCATAAAAATCCTAAAAACAAAATGCAACAAGATGGTTGTTGCAAAAAAAAATCTACAGCAAGACGGCTTTTGCAAAATAAAGCTGAAAATGTCTGCAACAAAACGTCAGTTGCAAAAAAAAGCAAGAATATATGTGTTGTAAATAAATTCTTCAACAAGATATCTGTTCTACAAAAAAACCCCGCAACAAAACCTATGTTGGCATGTTGCAGTGGTCGACGGTGGCGACTGTGACGGAGACAGGTCTGGCGCAGTTAGGGCTATAGCCCCACGCCTAGTAACAGCTTTCCTTCTAATTCCATCATACAAAGTATAGAAAATTATCAAAGTTTATCACTCAACATAGCACACCCCAGGCGTAGCCTGTATCAAGCTTCGCCACTGGGTGACGATCAACCTCTCGATGCGTCAAATCTAACAGCTCACAAGCCGGCTGAGCATGCCCCTTAAAGTATGTCTACACCTTCCAAAAAATTGCTCCCGGCATTATTCAAACAATGTTAAAAATGTTTACATACTTTAAAAAAAAATTCTACCATTCTAAAAAAGTCCATGCAATGTAAAGTGTTCACGTGGTTTAAGATAATGTTGTTTACCACTCAAAAAATAGTCATTTAGTTCAGAAAAATGTTTTGCACCATTCGAAAAGTTGTTTGTGAAATTTTCAAAAAATAAATAAATGTTCGTTGATATTTTAAGAAATTTCGATAAATGTTCTTGTAGTTTAAAAATCATGTAATTGAAATAATATTCGACGTATCTTTGAAAAAAGTTACCACGTATTTGAATTTTTTTAAACATGTATTTAAAATTGTTCAATGTGTATAAAAAATGTGATGTATTCATTAAAATATATTAAACATATACATAAAGGAAAATTAATATAAAAGAGAACCAAACACAACTGGTAAAGAAACAAAGAAAATCTAAAATCCAAAAATTAAAACCAGCACAGGAACACACAAAAATAAAGAATATAGTGCCTAGAAGCCTCTCTCGATGGCACCCGATTTGGGCCGGCCAAAAGCGTGCTCGCCTATTGCTCGCAATCAGTGAGAATTGCTACCGCCTATGCGAGTGCAACATACACATACATTTTTTTTTGAAATCACTAATTAAGAAGTATTGTAAAGATCACTCCCACCTTCTCAGATTATGGCAAGTATACATTGCGTGCGTATCACTTGTCGCAATCTTCTAATTTTCCTTTTTTCATATATTCGTTTATTCAAAATGTTTTATCTGTCAAACCGCATCTTCAAATCTCGAATCGTTTTGACCATTGAATTCCTCACGACAAGATATTCAAAATTATATCACATGTTGATAGGTTTCGATGAACTTTTCTTTTCATGAAAAAAATCCATACGAAAAAAACCCGATCAGGAAGCGCATTTTTTTTCTTTCCGAGAGGCACGACGGAAAACTTTTTTTCCTTTTCTGAGAAGCACAGTCGTGCGCGGAAGCAAATCCGTGCCTCTGCAAGGAGTAAGTCTGTGCCTCTCGCGAAAAAAACACTTTTATTTTCCTTTTCTCAGAGGCACAACCATGGCTCTTCCGGAAGCAAATATGTGTCTCCATGAGAAGTAAATTCTTACCTCCGGTGGAAGAAAAAAAGAAAACATATTTTTGTACTTTTGCGAGTGCAAGCAAATCGTTGCCTTCACGAGAAGTAAATGTGTGCTGCTTGCAGAAAAAAACCACCACATTTTGCCACGCAAAAAAGCAAATTTTGATTTTTTTCCCCCCAAAAGCTTGGGAAAGCCAAGAAGCCATAAAAACAAAAAAAATATAAAAGCTGAAAATGTGTAGAGAAAAATAAAAGAACAAAGTCCAAAGGGATTGACTACAGCGCGGCATGTGGCGGCGACTGAGAGCGCGACAAGTGTTACACTCCTAACCCAACCCAGATGACCCTTGGGAGGGCTCACGAAGGAGTACTTGTTAATTATTATTTGGTCTTCATTTTTGTTTTTCAGATCAACATTCACTTTTTTTTCCTGAGACAAAGACAAACATACACATACATATACCAAGGGGGGATTCGGGTATTACATGGGCCTAAGCCAGCCCATAAAATTTCTGTGGGCTAGTCGTGTGTTGCCGGCGTGGACACATACCGCACCGCACCACATGCCGAACTGGGCTCTCGGGACTCTGGAGCAGGAGCGGCGGCCATGGCGCGCGCATCGGGCTCGGGCGGCAGCGGCGGCGGCGGGAGCGACTTCTCCGTGATGGTGATAGGGTCCGACTTCGCGGTGGACGCCGGCGCGGCGCTCCTCACCTCCCCCGCCGACCGCGAGGAGTGGCACGACTGCGTCCCCGACCTCGGCGACGACTTCTCCGACCTCGAGGAGCTCCAGGTCGTCCGCGTGCAGGGCGCGGACAGATCCGGCCGGCCCGTCGTCCGGGTCGTCGGCAAGTTCTTCCCCGGTGCGCCAAACACCTCCCTTTACTTTCCGTCCTCTCCTCATCCTGGGATTTATCGGGTGGTATTTGGGGATTGCTGGTGCGCGTCTAGGGTTTGGTGCGAGTCATTCGACGAATTCTTTGCTGTTAGCTCTGCATTCTCGAGTAGGTATAGAGTAGAAAATGCATGCTACACTGAGGATTTCAGCATATCAGCAATTAGCCATTCTATTATGATTGGTTTTCAAAATTGAAAAAATCTGGATGTTGGAGATGCACGTTCATTTCGATAGTAATCTGCTGTGTATGTGGCTTCTTTGCTAGTGGTACCATCCCCTGTTGATCTAGTTTCTGGTTTGGTAATAGATTCAATACTGCAAATTAGTATTATTTCTCAAAATCAGTTGGCAGACTGCTGGTGTGCGTTAAAGTTTGATGCGAATCATTAATCAGTGAAGCCGTTGCGGTTAGTAGAAAATGCATGCTGCACCTAGGATTAAAGCATATCTATGTCTCAGCAATTAGCCATTCTATTGTGATTAATTGTCAAAATTGAAAAATTCTGGATGATAGAGATGCACGTTTCATGAGTGTTCATTTCGTTGGTAATCTGCTATGTATGTGGCTTCTTTGCTAGTGGTCTAGTTTCAGGTTTGATAACAGATTCAGTACTGCAAATTAGTCTCCCTCCGTCCTAAATTACTTGTCTCAGAAATGGATGTATGTAGACGTATTTGTTTACATCCATTTCTGCGACAAATAATTTGGGATGGAGCTAGTATTATTTCTCAAAAATCAGTTGGCAGACTCGAGCATACCATTTTATAAGGAAACTAGCATACCAGTTTGTATGTAGCTTATTTTCTAGTAGTGGATGGTTCCTTTCCATGTCATATTGGCCTAACTTCCCGTTGGATAATTGATTCAGTCGACAGTTAGCATTGTTTCCCAAAATCAGCTCACAGACACGATCACCATTTGACAAATATAGCTACCAAGGGAGCTTCACAACTTCTACTACACACTTGATGTTCCAATACTACAAGCTCTGCCGCTAATGTGATATTAGTTCCTGCCACTCCCTGTAACACTCACATGGCATTTTCTTTTGGTATTCCAGCTCCTGTTATAGATGGTGGACGTCTGAAGAGGTATGTGTTTCACAAGCTCCGCACCGAGTTGCCAGAGGGTCCATTCTGCATCTTGTACGTACACACCACTGTACAATCAGATGATAACAATCCTGGAATGACAATCTTGAGGGGGATTTATGAAGAACTTCCAGCTGAATACAAGGAAAGGCTGCAAATATTCTACTTCCTTCATCCTGGGCTTTATTCCTGGCTCGCCATGGCCACGCTAGGCAGGCTCTTCTTAAGCGGAGGGTCAGTTTTCTCTCATGCATTTCTTGATCATTAAAAATGCTCAAATATGTGGAGTTGTTTTACAATGATAGCCAGAAAACTTGCATACCATTTCACAAGGAGCTTGCTTCCAACAACATAAGGAAACTAGTAAATAATTGTATACAAGCATTATGGTTTTTGTTTACCTTCTCTGGTTTGTGAATAATTTTGCCGAATAGGTTTCCAGGGTTGTGTTGTGCCGTTCCTGAATCATAAGAAGTAATCTATACTTGTGACAGACAAATTGCAGAGACCATCAACTCATCCATTTCTTGATTTGTTACTGTTCAGTCTTGTGTACTTGACTAGATATTGTATTGATGGGAAGATACAATACTGCTGCTTTACACCATTTATGTTGAACTCATATCATCTGAGTTTGCTTACTCAGAACTATTACCTCGGTACCAAAATATTAGATGTTTTGGTATGCTAAGACATTTTGGTAGCAAAACGTCTTATATTTTGGTACGGAGGTAGTAGAAGACTGCTCACTCCTAGTGCAGCCACACTGCAGTCACCTTTCAGTATATACTTCCTCACTCATATTGGTTGTCTATTGCAGGTTGTATTGGAAAATCAAGTATGTTAGTCGGCTGGAGTATCTATGGGGGGACATCAAAAAGGGTGAAGTTGAGATTCCAGATTTTGTTACTGAACATGACAAGATCCTTGAGCACCGACCATTGACAGACTATGGTATAGAACCTGATCCCCTGCATCTCGCTGATATACCTGCTGCGGGGTACTCGCTTGGTAGGTATGAAGACAAATGGTCTCCGGAAGATCGTTGGCATTCTCGCAATTACATGTGACATTTTGGTGCTGTTGAAGGCTTTGTAAGTTCTCTGTATATATATGTCATAGCAAATGGCGATGCACACCAGATTGTAATGGAAACTTTGTTCATAATAAGGTAGTGTCTTGAATTGTGGGCGTGTATGACATATTTGTAGAGACAATACCAAATGGATGACAGATTGAGCATACAAAAATGATGTGATTTAATGTTGTCTTGAGTGTCAGATGAGCACTTGGTTTCTGTGTATGCAAGCACAGGTTTGTAACATCACACAGCTAAACCAGGAAAATTTATCGATAACTTGTTTGGAGTCTGAGATTAAGATCTCATAAATCATGTCCACCATTTTATTCTGGAATTGTAGCAAAACTAACAATGGCTACCAGGATTATAAGAGGACTAATTTTTTGAGAGCTCTCGGCATCTTGTTGTGGCAGCAACAACGGCATTTATCAGTGTGCCACGAAACGAACCCTTCTCGAGCTCATGAACACCAGCTATGGTAGTTCCTGCAGGGGAAGTGACCTGATCCTTCAGCTGCCCTGGATGTTTACCCGTCTCGCTAACCATGGTTGCAGCACCTAGCACCTAAACAACAGATCATATGACAAAAAGAGGTAATGAGAAAATGTAGAAGATCAACAAATGACAAAAACAGGATACTGCAAAATTGAGATCAGAACATCATAATTGTTGATATGGTAAAATGCAATTAATCATAATGCGCAAAGGAACTATACACATCCCAGTTTAATAATTATGCAAGATAATGTCCAAAGGACTATGTAAAATAACAGAATATGGAATGGATATGTACTGTCTGAGCTGCAAGACCAAGAGCAAGATCCCGAGGAAGCCCAGCAGCAACTCCACCATCAGCCATGGCTTCTATTGCCAAGAAAATGTAGGCCGGACCACTACCACTGTATTCAAATATATGGAAATGCATGTTAATTCTTGAGCCAATCATGGCCTACTCTTGGCATTGCTTCCTTAAAGTTTCATATAGAATATGTCACATACCTCAAGCCAGTAACCGCATCAAAATATTTTTCTTCAGCTGTCCAAACTTTTCCAATGGCACTAAATAAGCTTTTGACACGGTTTTCATCATTCTCGGTAGCCGTCTCTCCCAGACACATCACTAAGTACATGAAACAACATCAGCAAGAAACATATGTGTAAAAAATGGCATGTTTCTAGTGATACTACCTCCATTTAGTAATTCCACCGGCAATAAAATTTCTACCAATAATAGAGATTCATAACATCACAGAATGGTAGCCATTTTACTGGAAAAACAGAAGTAGATAATGTGTTGCACGTTTCAAATTTCAAATTTACATATGTAGATAATAATGAATCAATAAAGCAGACCGACTTTTGAAGATTCTAAAAGTAAAATCCTTGACATTTCAGTTAGGTAAACCTTGTTATTTCATTAGAGACACTAGAAATAGAAAAGAAATTAGAGTTCACTTTTTTCTCAAGGTATCACTAATGGGAGATCACCACACAATTCTGGTCAACTGATAGCTTCACGATATCAGCATTATGTGTGCAGTTGATAGATTACAAGACAGGAAGTAAGTTTACAGAAGACAGATCTGCATATGTTTACCTGATGCTGCTTGTCCGACAGCAGAGGGAGTGTTTGGCATTACTCTAATAATTCTGCGCTGACCAGACCAATCCTGGGATTAAAAGAGCAAAAAAACCATAAGACAAAAACGTCTAGTCGTGGTAACTGCTTTTATTTTGGCAAACGGAGTACATGGTAAGGTGAACTTTACAAATCTAGTCATAGCTCCGCAAACTATATACATGGAGTATCAGCTTGGTAAGTTGTACTTAAAAAATTGCAATCTGAGATCAGGATTTAATACTGCAAATAAATCTAAAGACAGGGAAAAAAAAGGAGCTCGCGTGAAGCGAGATGTTTCTTGTCCAGCTCAACCCATATACAGAAACATGGCATCAGTTGGCTTCTTCACGATTGGAATATAGCTAGAAATTATATCATGCAGTGAATACCCTGAATCACCAGTTAAGAAAGGAAAGCTGAGTAAACCCTGAATGCACACTGACTGACCTGCAAATCTTTCATCTTGATGCCCGCGGCAATGGAGACCAGAAGCTTTTCTTCAGACAGCAAGGGCTTGAGCTCAACCAGAACCTGCTTGACTGCAATTTCATATGTCGGTAATCTCATGAGCGCACAGAAGTAAAAGCCCAAATTGTTAAATATGAGGCATCAGTGGTTGCTTTCAGTCTTTGAGTAACTGGCAAATGCCATGTCCGGAGAGCGTTTGCGAGACGCATCGGTGATTGATTGATTGCCTTCAGGGGCTGATGAAAATACTAGTGAGCACACTTACCAATCTGGGGCTTGACGGAGATGACGATCACATCGCTGTCGTCGACAACCTGAGACGAGAAGGAAAAAAAATCATCACGTGAGACACGGAGTGGCTTTCAAGCATGAACACGTGACAGACAGACAGACAGAGATGCTTGGCTGCTTCGAGTACAGGGGGAGGGGGGAAGGCGAGGTCAAGCAGATGGGGGAGGAGCAGGAGATGGACCTGGGCGTTGGATGCGAGGATGGTGGCGCCGAGGGAGGCGAAGGCGGCGCCGCGCTCGGGGCGGCGGTGGGGCGCGGTGCGGACGGCGGAGGCCGGGAGGACGCCCGACGCCGCGACGCCGCGCGCGATGCTCTCGGCCAGGTTCCCCGCGCCGATGAAGCCCAGGCGGAACGCGTCGCCGCCGCTCGCGGGGGCGGGCGCGGCGGGCTGGGGGGGCGCCGCCGCCATTGCGAGGATTGGGGGGGGGAGGGAGGGCGCGGCGGCTGGAGGCTGTGTTGGGAGGGAGGTTGTTGCTGGCAGGCACACGGGTCTGACGGAGGACTCGGGTGGAACGCTGGGCTTTTGCGCTTTCTTCGTCGGCCTCGGACGGGTGCGTGGCTTTGGATACGGAGCCAAGCGCGGGGCGACACGAAGCGGCCGGACGTGGTGCCGCTTTCCGCTGCCGCCGTTTGGAACTTTGGATGCTGACCCGCCATCATTTTGTCAACGAAATATCTGGACTGTTTGGTGTGTTTGTTTGTTTGTTTGTTTGTTTGAATGGACACCTGAGCGGCTCACCCTTTGCAACGTTGCACGCCGCAAAATCTATGCAGAGCAAACATATCTTTTTTTTTGCATTTTTTATGATAATATGTGCTCATCCATCTATATATATTATAAGGATTATTATAGTACAAACCTGGCAAAACCAATAAAATAATCAACCGCAAAAAAACCAAAAAAATAGCAGAACACAAGCCTTTCCACGAAGGAACACCGGTTAAGAAGTAAGAGTGCAAACAAGACCCAAGAAAACCTCTGAGCTTGACACCAACGCTCATCATCTGCCTTTGGCACCACCACAGCGGCCACCAAACAAAAGAAAGATGACGGATCACCTTCCCACTCGAGCTCGACACAGCTCCATCACTGATAAGCAGTTTTGCGGACCTCCAAGGTGGCTCGCCAAAGGTGAAACCATTACCGTCGAACGAATCAGACTGAGGCAACACCCCAGGCACGCCATCCAACTCCAGATCTGACACCCCCACATGACTAAGACGTCGGAGGAGGAAATCATACCTGCCATCCACATACCATGAACTCAGCATGAGATCCACCATCTTCCAGATGCCGCCGATGTAGACCCACAATCTGCATCCGCTCCTAGACTACCTCCCAAACTCCGCGCCGGCATTGGAGCAAATGCCGTCGTGATGGCGAGGCCCGAGGACACATGTCCACCACGAGGATGCCGCCGCCGCACCATCCTTATTTGAACAAACTTGATTCCAAATCCATCTCCAACCATAAGACCGATCACCTCGTTGGAGTAGGATTTGAGAAAACTTTATTCAGCACCGTCATCGCCGCCGCCGAAGCCAAGACGATGAACAACCTAAAAACTAAGCTACTTTGGCCGAAAACTACCCACACGCGTGGATCCGGCGACACCCCTCACCACCGACGACCGAGGTCATCAGCAGAGGGGAGCCGCCAGAGGACGGCGACAAAGAAAGCCCGTGACGGCGGGCACTAGCGAGAGAACGATACACATACACAGCGCTATCTGAACAAACACATCTAGCCGCTCGATTAGCGGTACACACAACTATACACATAATTTTGTACAGTATTGCCTCTGTCCCAATTTATTTGTCTTAAATTTATCTAGATATATCCGTATTGACAAATCTAAGATAAGTAATTACTAACTAGGGATGGACGGAGTGGTATATATGCTCTAGACTGTCTAATCTTCACGCGGAAAACTTGACTTTACTACTCCTCTTCACATAAGACGTTGTAGACAAATCAGATATCACTCAAAACAATTCGATGTCAGCTGTCTGAAACGTTTTATAAAAGTAAACGGAGGGAGTAGTAAAGTGCTCTTGTGCACTGCAGCACATAAGCACCTACTGTGAACAGTAATTTGAAAATAATGGTAAAAGGTTTTAGAAAATAAAAAAAAGTTGGCATACATTGATGAATGTGTTGACTGCCTGTAAAATTTCATCATAGAACAACATTCGTGGAAGTCCTGGCAAAAAACAAAATCAATGCTTTAAAAATTAGCATATTTAAAGCATTGATTTTTTTTCATACCACGATTTCCACGAGTGCCATTTCATGATGAAACTTTGCAAGTGCTCTAAACATTCATTAATGCTTGCCACAAAAAAGTCAGTTTTGTTTGAATTATTTTACCATTTTTTTTGAATTTACTGTCCATCCAAGTTCAACTGTGCTTGGGAGCAAATACTTTGCGTCCACTTTACTAATGCTTGCCTCTCAAGCCCTCCTCTTTACATGATGGATTTGTTATCCTTCATGATGGTTATGGTACCATAGGGAATTCAATAAAGATGGGAATGCTTCCTTGGAGGAGTGAACCTAAAAGGAATTATCACCTCATTAATTGGTCAAAATGTTTTCGCCTTAAAGACCGCGGGGGTCTAGGGGTGATCAATTCTAAATTAATGAATATATCTCTCATGGCTAGATGGGAAACTTTATTCTGGTCAAGATTGCTTATGAAAATCAATCATGCTTGCTAAGTATATGTGTGCTTAAGACATTTTCTCTTCCTCAAGGTAGGGCAACTCTCAGTTATAATGTACTTTCTCCGTTCGAAAATACTTGAGAAATGAATGTACCTAAACGTATTTTAGTTCTGGATACATCTATTTTTATTCAATTCCGCGACAAATAATTCCGGACGAAGGGAGTAGCTAACATCATATTAAACACTACTTTATCATGGGGTCAAACCATTCCATGGGCGATGGGTGACTACCTGTTTTTGGATGGATCGGTGGCTGGGTGACACCACTCTCAAGGATCATTTCCCGTCCACGTTCGCTATGCATGATTACCCTGCAATTTTGGTGTCATACTGAACTTTTGCCCGTCCTTCGATCAAGAAGATACGTCCCAATGAAACTCAACATAATTGATCTTCTATACTCCATCCCTTGGTCTCCTGAGCCGTTTGATTCTTACTCTTCCAGCTCCATGCACAGCAAACTATCCCAAACGACATACGTTGGCCTTCTAGACTCCATCCCTTCTAGACTCCATCTTTATGGCTTGTTCGGTTGGAGGGGATTGATGGGGATTAAATCCCCTAAAAGGCAAAATCCCCCTCAATCCCCTACAGTTATCTTCAATCTTCTTGGAGAGATGATTAATCGAACAAGGCCTTAAGAAGAATTGGAAATGCCAACTCTCTCCCAAGCCAACGATTTTCGTTTTGCATCTTACCAAGGGCTGGTTGCCATCCAATGGTCCAACTGTCAGATTCTTAAAACAGGATGCACCGTCGGATGGGTGATGTGTCTTGCGACTTGCTTGAGAATGCTAACCACGTTTTTTTCCTAACGCGTCCCAGCTAAGTCCGTCTAGTTTCTGTGAGATTTTTGGGTGCACTTGCAACCCTAGAAACTTGTTATATTTCTTTGCTTTCTATGAGTAACTTGTTGAATAGTCCATTCACATCAATTAATTTCCTTTTGCGGCTGCTTATTGTGCTTGTGGAATGTTATGAAAAATTGTATAATTGAACTACCTAAGCACCATACTAATATTATCTTCAAAATTTTGGCCAAACGAAATCATGCAGCAATGCAGTCTCTTATGGGGCGCCTTAGAGATCTACACGCTGCAGTAGCACACCCTCCACCCCCACGCACATCCCACACCAAAGATAGCTTGTTTATTAGCTCCTTGTATTTGTAGTTAGTCTTTGCTTTTGTGCGAGCTATTTTTGTAGAGATGATATCCGCAGCTAGACTCCCATGTACCTTGTTGCCTAGCTTCGGCCGACACTATGATGTCTTTGGTCTAAAAAATTGCAACTCGGTGAAAACCTAGTTCTATCGCCACCTCAAGAACTTTGAAAGAAGCACTAGTTTTGGCCTCGAGAGGGGCAATGCAGGTGCTCCACTTTGGGGTAGACAGGGCATTGTCGAGCTCACCCGTGATGTGATTTGTTGCTCCGGTATCTGCGTACCAGTTTGTATCAATGCCATAGGAGTCGGTTACGGCATTTGCCTCCTTCTCCTCATACTCATCATCTTCGTATCGATCCCAGCATGCACGAGCACCTCCTCAATGATGCTTGAGACAGATTTGGCACTCGGGATAGTCCCGGTGCGTTGGGCGCTGCTGTTGTTGTTGTTGGGGACGCCCACCTCGAGCCCCCCTGTTGCTGTTGTTTGGGGCGGACGGAGAGTGCCTTCCTCGCCCGCGCCCCCTGGTTCCGCGAGCACGACCCCTGGGCCTGTACTGGCCACGGCCCCTGTACGCCAGATTGGCCAAGGTGTTGAAGCCGGCCTCACCTCCATCTCCCAGCATCTTCATGCGCTGGTCGAAAGCGGCGATCTGAGCGAAGAGCTCGTCAACGTTGATGGAGGTCTTGACAGCGCCAATGGCCGCCACTACAGGGTCGTAGTCACGATCTAATCCAGCGAGTACGTAGTCCACCATCTCTGGATCGGAGACCGGACGCCCTGCCGCCGCAAGTTCATCCCCGAAGCTCTTCATCTTGGAGATGTAGGCGCTACTGGACATGGTGCCTTTCTTCGTCGTGGTGATGGCGATCCTCAAGTTCGTGATGTGGGATTGAGACTGCGATTCAAACAGAGTAGTAATCCCGGTCCACAAATAATAGGTGTTTTCCTTACCGACGAACTGCGCCAGGACTTCTTTGGAGAGGGAGTTCATCAAGTAGCTGAGGACCTGCTGGTCCTTTGATAGCCATGGCCCATAAAGTGGATTGGGTACCACTTTCATGGTCTTGTCCGACTTCTGCTGCTCCACCGTGGCCGGGGGCGTTGCGTCAGTTCCATCCAGGAGCCCCGTGACCTGCGCTCCTCGCAGGCCGGGCATGACCTGGGCCTTCCACAAGAGGTAGTTCCCCTTGGTGAGCTTTTCGGCCGGCGGAGGTCCAAGGTTGAGGACGATCGGGGCCGAGCTGAAAGACATGGCGATGGGGATTGCTTCTGGTAGCTAGATCGGGAAGAGAATAGGCTCGCGTTCCTACTCTCCAGGAGGAGAGCCGCATGGGTATTTATTGATCTGGGCGTAATATGCCGTAAGGTACAAGAAGCAGTCGATCGCTAGGATACAACTGTCGTACAGGAGACCAGGATGAATACGAGAGAAGGAGAGAGTAGAGATAGATACAGATGAGATTACAATAGCAGGTTTAAACTATTTCTAACAGATCCAAGAGATCGGAAGTCCTTAATAGTCATTGGTGATCGTACATTGGCAAGTCCTCGGAGGGAATTTTTTTTCGAAATGTTATCTGGCGACCGTTCCTCCGGAGGAAATCCCCAGCGAAGCCTCTCATAGCCGCCTCTCATAGCCACAGGATCAAGATCTGATGGTGGCAGTTTTCAGATGAAAAATACACTATAATCAACAAAATATCATGCTTTAAGACAAAAATGTGACCCCAAAACACTAAACTACGAACCGCGTCATTCACAAATGTCATCCTGGCCAGCAAACGTTCGCTGGCTATTGCAGTCCAAAAAATAAAATCTGCACGCAATCCCTCGTCCACAGGTCTCTCCTAGATACAGGAGATGTTTCAACTAGAAGATCTGGAACCTGGGGGGTGGCAATTACTTAGATGAAACGGCTGCAAGGGCGTTCGCTGGGAGTTCCTTCCCAGCGAACATTCGCCAATTAGCATTATCAAATGAAAAAAAAAAGTCAAGCAACTTGCGCTGCCCGAGCGGCTGTCTGCAATCATGGATTCTTAGTAGCTCAATTTACAATCACTGGGAGTCGAACAAATGTGCTGTACAAAACAATGGTTGCATGTATATATCTACATATCAATGAAGTATCTCTCGCTGAACATATAATTAACCTAAGCTATAAAACTTGCATCTTTCTCTCATCGGAGTCACACACTCCTTTAACTAACCAAAAATGAGCAGGAAAATACAGAACAGCCATTGACACTACTGCAATAACAAAATCTCCCTTTAGAGATAATTCGGGAGATCGATAAACATCTTGCTTGACAAAGGAGATGTTGCACTTCAAACATCCTGTCAAGTATATGTATCAGGCATCCTTCAAGGGGCACCGGTGGTTGCCCAGGTCATTCAACCAGCATCACTGCACAACGGCTATGCTTAAAAGTAGCTGGACTGCGTTTGCAGCAGCTGAAGGTGAGCAAGGATCCTGCCAATCATCGGTTTCAGGACAGGGTCGCCTTTCTGAGCGAGATCGATGAGCAGAGCCTGCGCGATCCCGCCGTACTGCTCTCTGTGCTCTTCGAGACGGAAGATCCTCTCCAGTATCCATATCGCCTTGTCCTGGGAGGTCAACTCGCCTGCTTCAGCGACTCTCAGCAGAGCGTGGACACCCGATGCTTTCTCTATCACCCTGCTCCCGTTCTCCCAGATCTCGTCCTGCACGAGGGTAGCCAGCGCTTCCAGCACAGATCCATCTGCTTCTCGCTCTTCGCCTTCTAGTATTTGGACCAGTGGGTTGACAGCACCAGCTTTTGCCAAGCAGAAAGTACTTTTGACAGTGCACTGGTAATCATGAACTATGCAGTAAGATTCAGCTGATGGGGGAACACAAAGCCACCTTGGAGATTTTGCCTTGCGTAATGCTACTGAATTCTGTGACAGTTGAGCCAAGGATGTCGCTGACTTAGACTTTGCCTTTACTGATCCTTCTGAAAGCAGCTTGACGAGCCAAGGAACTACCCCATGTCCAACTGCTAAGCTTTGTAGTTTCTTATCCCAAGAAACGGTGAACCTGGTTAACACACCAGCAATGCCCTCAAGTAACCACATTTTTTGTGGCGACGGAGATGCTGAGATGTTTGCCTCCAATAAGGAGATCAAAACTGGAAGCAAGTTTGCTTGTGTGAGAAACTTTGTGATATTCTTATCTGCCACCGGGAGGTTACTTAGGACACCAACAGCTGCAGCCTTTTCGGCAATCCCAGGTGTAGGAGAAGCAATAATCTTCACTAAGATATCAAGATGGGTCTCCCTGATTTGTTCGGCCAATTCTTGTGAAGCATCTTTTGATAGATGGAACATTAAATTCAAAGCAGCAACTTTGATGCCAACATTCTTTTCTCTAAGGAATGGCAGGAGGAGCTGCACTCCACCATTTTGTCTAATTTTAGCTCTAGCCCTCTTAGCGTTTGTGTGCCCACAAATACTATTGAGGGCCCTTAAAAGATGAAGCTGAATTACTGGACACGATAAGTTAAGAAGTGAGAGCATCTGAGGAGCTGCATCCCTATGTAGGAGGATACGATCAGATTGTGCTATAGTTGAGAGTATAGCTGCCGCTGGCTCTCTAAGGGTCATGAGCACTGACGTGACCGAGCAAAGGAGTTGAAGCAGTGATCCAGTTATGCCACAATTTATCAAAAGTTCTGCGTTTTGCAGAGAGCTAGAGAGATTACGCAAGGCGGCTAGGGCTGAGTGCTTGGCTTCATGGTTTCCAGATTTAAACATCTCCACAAGGGGCTCGACTGCTCCATCTTCTCCAAGGGAGGATTTCATCTGTTCAGAGAGGAACATCTTAGAAATAGCGGTTGCCATGAGGATCTTGTTCATATCTGAACCTGTAAAATCAGAAAATAAACCTTAAAACATCATTGTAGCTAGATGACACACAGCTGCGCTGAAGTAAGGGGGGATTCAACTAATCAGATTAATTTCGAAGTCTTGTCCTGTTTCTTCTCACAGTTCTGGGTTGCACTCTATTATTACTCATGGCATTATTTTTCATGGTTTTACATGACCTCGTCTTCAATTTTATGGCTTGGATCTCACATGTGCATTTTGAGAAGCTCTTAATTGGTTAATCAAATAGGAAGGGTGAAGCTCATAACCCCCTGATTTTGAAGAATGCCAGTATAACTCACACTTACATATGCTAGAACATGGCAGTGTGCTTATAAAAAAATGGCCGTGTGATGCAGAGTGTAGAATAATTAAAATACCTTCTTTCAGGTAATGTATCAATGGTCGAAAATAGCCAGCCTCTGCCATGAGCAGCACATTTTGTGGGTTGCAAGACAAAATGTGCAGCAACTTCTCTGCGTCATCATAGGTGCCTGATTCATGTGCATTCCGCAGCGTGACCAGCATCACTATGCATCCTTTGATCCTGCCAATCCTCTGCCGGACCTGTGGAATATCTGACAAATCCAATAGCAGCACAATTGCTTCCATTCTCTCGTCGACATCTCTAGATAAGGAGCGTACGATGCTTGAAAGCGCATCAATGCTTGCCATCCTCTCCTGCAAAGCCATGCGGAAAATACAATCATATTGGGAAGCATGATCGGGTTCGTTATTTATTGTACTCTGATGATCAACTACTAGTCTTCAACCATCATATTCTGCAAAATGAAAAACTTATATAATCAAGTACTCCTAGTCATATCCTTATTGTCAGAAAATATATGACCCTGTCAAGGCTGTAGACACAGACAACTGGCAGAGCAAGCTGTCGATTGCAAGCCCCTGTGCCGTGCGGCGAGCGGTTGGGCACAGGTCGAAATTCCTACAGCTCTCAACTATGAAGACACTCCGTGTTTCCATGATCCAAGACAACACTAAATGCAGCCTCCAAATTCCCCAAGAAGCGGACATTCAAGGCCATCCGTCCACGAGCATACCATCGAACACATAGGGTGCACGGCCACAAGAGGCCAAACAGAGGCCGCTCGCTCACCTTGGTCTCGCCGCCGGCGCAGCCCGCGAGGCGCCGCAGCGCGGCCATGACGAGGACCCTGACCTCGGGGTCCCCGGCGCCAGCGAGCCGCGCGAGCAGCGCCGGCACCAGGACCCCATCATCCTCGTCGCCGCCGAGCCTCCCCTCCTCGGCCAGCGCGGCTACCTCCCGCGCCACGGCGCCGAGCTCGGGCTCGGCGCCGTTCTTGACGCGCACCAGGAGGTCCTCCACGTCCACCGCCGCCCGGCGGCCCGCCCCCGGCGGCATCGCGGCGCACCCAAGAAGCGAACGGCACTGTCTCTAACTGTAACTGTATAGCTGGCACCCGTGCGGACGCGGAGGTCGGCCGTGACTTCTGCGGCCGGCTGTGGCGTAGCAGCAGGAGGTGTGGGCGTGGTATAGCGAGCGGAGGAGGGGGGAAGGGGGAAGAAGAAGAGGTCAAGTCGTCCATGGGGGAGGGGAGGCGACCAGCCCGAGGCTGGGAGGCGCCGGCGGTCGCTGTCTGTCCGCCTCAGCTTTCCGGTTTTCGCGACGCGCAGCGAGTGAAGTGAGCGAGACGGGATAGCTCATCGCGTGTTTAATCGGTTTACGACCGAGTCGGACGACAGGATGCTGCCTCGTATAGCCCCGACCCGTAAGTGTTTTATAGTGGCCCGGAAACCACCGCCTCCCCTCGCGCAGTATAACTACGGGTTCGCGGTGAGTATATGGGGCCGCAATCCCTCCTCTCCCCTCTCAAATTCTCGCCGCTGGTGACTCCAATCCGCCGCCACAGTCCACCATGTGGCGTGGGATGTGGAGCTCGGGCCGCCGTGCCAGCGGTCGCGACGATCCCGAGTGGCAGCGGTGTGTCGAAGCCGACGACGCGAGGAAGCGAGATGTCCGGAAGTACACGAGCCATGGCCTATAGCCGCCGCGCCGGCGGTCACGATGATCTCGAGTGGCAGCGGTGCGTCAAAGCCGACGGCGCGAGGAAGCGAGATGTCCGGAAGTACACGAACCGTGTCCTAGAGCCGCTACCGTCGCTCCTCTCATGCAGCCCTTGTGACTTTGTTTTCATTATAAGGAATATAACCATCTGAGCTACACTCGATTCGCTTGAAATATTAGAATTTTAGTGTCATTTTCTGATGTCGGATGAGGCAATA